TTTGTTGGCCTGGAAGCAGAGAATGGGCTCAGCAAATTCACAGTAGGCATGGCCCAGATACCCTAAAGGCACCAGATCCTGTATGATCTTGGAAGCTAAGCAGGGTCAGCACTGGTTAATACTTGGATGGGAGAGCACCAATTATTACTGGGTACTATAGGCTATATTGGAGAGGAAGGCAATGGCAAACCACTTCTGAGTATTCCTTGCCTAAGAAAACCCTATGAAATTCATGGAGTTGTCATAAGTCAAGAGGAAACATGAAGGTACATACACACACATGGAGTAGTAGCCCACCAGATATCCAGAGACCAGAAAAGTTTTGAAGGGACTATTGATAAAGAAAGGCAACCTAGGATTTTACAGAGAAGCAATAAATGGTTGGTGGCATCTGAAGGCAGCCAATGGAGTTGGGTTTTTTTTAATTTTACTGTGATATGATCAGTCCTGGATGTACCAGTAAACAGTCTGACTGCTGTGTTTCCAAGCTTGAAGCTTCCAAGCTACGTACAGAGGTAGTCCAAAGTGCAGCGCATTGCAAAAGTCCAGCCTTGAGGTTACCAGTATGTGCGCTACCATCTTTTAAGTCCTCCAGCTTTAGGAAGGAGCACAGCTGGTATAATAGCCAAAGCTGGTAGTAATCACTCCTGGATGTCGCATCTATTTGAGCTGTCATTTGGCGTGATGGATCCAGAAGCATTCCCAGGCTGCAAACATCCTGCCCTGTTCTTCAGGGCAGCTCACAATAAAAATCAGTTTAGGACAATATATAACAATAACAATAATTTTAAAAAATGAAAACTGGATTAGGTAATTTATAATTTAAAATCAGACAATTTAAAACCAATTAAAAGCATCTGACATAATGCCAGACATAGTATGTGTGCAAATTGGATTAAAACAATTAAGCCTTCAAGACTTTATTAAAAAGCCATGATTTGACCTGATGCTGGCATGACACCAGCTTTGGCACCAATCAGACCTCCAAGGGGAAAGTATTCCATAACTGGGGTACCACAGCAGAGAAGGCCCTCTCCCATGTATTGTCCCCATTAGAGGGACATAGAAGAGGGCCTCTCCAACAGACCTAAATTCTTAGGCAGGCATATATAGGGAGAGGCATCCTTCAAGTGTCAAGGTCCCAAGGCATTTGTCATTTTCATAGCTTGCTGTAACACTGGGTTGTTGTTTTTCACCTTTTTTGTTAGTTGTGTTAGTTGTCTGAGAATTCCTGGAAACAGAAGATTGAACAGACATTTTTTTAATGAAAAATGAGTGCTGCTCAAAAGGGCTGAAGGAAGCAATTCAATTACCTGTGTGTGTCCAATAACCTGCACATTTCTATATTTTTTGTGGCTTTTTTGGGCTATATGGCCATAATAAAATAATAAAAAATAATAAAATTTATTTTTATCCCGCCCCTCTGCACAGCACAACCGGGGCAGCTTACAACATTAAAATATACATTCCGTATCCCACAACCCCACTCCCCCTTAAAATACTATTAAACAGTTGACAGTTTAAAACACACTTAAAATAGTAACACAGATAAACAATAACTGCAGCAGAATCAGGGATAAGAAGGTTGAGCTATTTTTTGATGGCTGGGATATCTATTCAGGAAAGGCCTGCCAGAAGAGATCCATCTTAACAGCCTTTTTAAAGCTGTTTAAGGTGGTAATATGATGGATCTCATCTGGCAGGTCATTCCACAATCTGGGAGTGGTTGCCAAAAAGGTCCTCTGGGTGGTTGCAGACACTAGTTTTTATAGGCTGCAACAAATTCCTCCTTAAGCCGCCCCGATTGGTTTCAGAGGGGGGATATAAATAA